AACCATTCAAGCCACAGAATTCGTTGGATAGAGAATTAAATGGGGGGGTCATGACCCCCATGACCTCCCCCCTTGGATCCGCCCTTGTCTGGTAATCGAAACGATTTTGCGATCCTCCTCAATTTGCTTTCGTAGTTTGGTAGATATTGTTTGAAACTGGCAGTTTTCAATAGGCTGAACGTGTTTTTTTCGGGTGGACGATTGGACGCGTTCCAATTCCACACAGTCAACGTGGTACTGCACGGCATTCTCTCCCTAATGGCCCTTCCACTCTTCGAGTGTTTGCTAAAGCGGAAAAAACCCAGAAAAAAGCTCCATATTTTGGACGATCCCGCCTTCACTGGAGCCCTACTCTTTGCCAGTCATCCTGTACACACTGAGGTAGGTCTCGATTACTTTCCATCGCCAGTTTGGATAAGAATTCAATCGCGAAAAGCTTGAAACTTTGAGAGATTTAGCGGTTGTCATTCGACTTCGCGACGATTTCGCCTACGTTTGACCCAGTTGAACTTTTGAAGAGTGTAATGACGCCCAGTTAATTCAAATTTTAGGCTGTTGCAAGCCTAGTGGGTCGAGCCGACCTTTTGGCAGCCATTCTGTTCTTTGGCCTGATTATACTCTACAAGAACGTATCCGGACTTCTCGGTTGGTTTGTGTCTGTGTCGCTGATCTCAGGCACGGCCGTTCTGTGCAAAGAAACCGCCATCACTGTGCTGGTAAGAGTCGCCGCAGCACTAGGCCTGGATAACACTGTGTTGAGTTGTTTGGGTGAAACAACCCTAAAAATTCAATGAGTTACCCAGGCCTACGCAGCACTAATCCAGAGTGTTTAACTGCAAACTGTTATCTAGGGCGTATGCATCATCTACGAGGTGTATCTGCGGAAAAAACCGTCCAAGTTCTGGAGCGAAACGTTCGAAAAGACATTTCTCATGCGAGTTGGCCTGCTGGTATTGATCGGTTTCATCATCATGATCCTGCGGCTGAAAGTGATGAACTTTGAAGGGCCCACTTTCAGCCCCACGGATAATCCCGCATCGTTCCACGAAAGGTTGACCGTCCGGGTATGAAACAGCCATTCAAAGGTCGCTCTAATAGTAAATGGCTACGTTCCAGGTTTTGTCCTACAACTACATTTACTGCCTAAATGCGCTGCTGTTGGTGTGGCCCCAGTGGCTGTGCTTCGATTGGTCGATGGGATGCGTCCCACTGATCCAGCAACGTTCGGATCTGCGTATTTTTGCAGTTTTAGCTTTTTGGCTCATTGTAATTGCAGTCAGTTACCGATTGGTTAAAGACCTGATTACTAAAGATAAAGTGTAAGTAACCTTTCTATTTTAGCGATTGGTTTGCAGTGAAGTTCTAGAAGACTTTTAAACACAAAAGTCTACACTTAGCAACTGTTTCCTGCAGAATTATGCGCCGCAACACTCTAATTGAGAGGCGGTATTACACTATTTAAACGAACTTATTGGCGCAGTCTGTAGCAACATCTGGTATTTGCAGGGATGTGTACGTGATGGCCTTAAGCTTGATGTTGATTCCGTTCCTGCCATCCAGCAACCTTCTGCTTCGCGTGGGTTTTGTAATAGCCGAGCGAACTTTACTGGTGCCCAGCACTGGATATTGCCTATTGGTGGCTGTTGGTCTCGAGAAGCTAAAAAGTCGATTTGGCTCCGTAAAAAATGTAAGTTTTGACCACGCAAAGGCATCGAATGCAACTGAAACTTGCAGCTTTTCACTGCCATGTACATTCTGCTGCTGGTCACTTTTGTCGCGCGAAGCATTCAGAGAAACTACGAATGGATCAACGAGGTGCGTCTATTCAAATCGGCGTTGGAAGTGTGCCCGTTGAATGCGAAAGTGCATTACAATATCGGAAAGGTAAATACAAATGTTATTGGAAACTAGCAAAGATCGGGGTTTAAACTCGGTGGATTTCAGGTTTTGTCCAATCCGACACGCGGATCGCTTCGTGATGCCGAAAGGAGTTATAGACACGCATTGGAGCTCTATCCGAGATATGAGCAAGCCATGAACAATTTGGCCAATATCTTGAGGGAAAAAGGCCAGTTGGAAGAGGCCGAGTATTGGCTGCAGTTGGCTGTGGCGGTACAGTTTTGCTTAATTTGCTTGTTGAATGTAGTTGCGCTTATTCAAACTAAGTGCGCGTATTCTGTTACTGGATTCAGAGCCTGGAAGCTTTTTTGCCAGACCAAATAATTCAAAGAATGCCTCTCTTGGATGACTGTCAGAGTCATTTTTTATTGCCTTTGATAATGTTCCCCCGCATTTGCGAGCGAAACGTTGGACGTAACTTGAATCGTGCCTCCTTTATAAGCCCGCTAGAAAAATATTCATTCTCATAGTCTGACTAACGGGATTGTTTTATAGGTGAGACCAAATTTTGCAGCCGGTTGGATGAATCTCGCTATTGTTCTGGGCAGTCAGGAAGAGCGATGGGGGGAAGCGGTTAGGGCCTACAAAAACGCTCTTGCGCATAGAAAAGAATACCCGGATGCGCAGTACAACCTGGGAAACCTCTACCTCGACATGGGAGATCACCTCGTTAGTGTGGCTTTATGTAGCTTTCCTTGGTGCTGACCAGTAGTTTTCAGGCAGCTTTAGACTGTTGGAAAAAAGCGGCCGCGCTTCGTCCGACGCATGCGGCCGCTTGGGGCAACAGCATGGCGTTGCTGGACTCAAAAGGAATGGCTTCTGCAGCTGTTGAACTGGGCCAAGAAGCTCTTAAACATGTGCCTAAATCTGCAGCCGTGCACTTTGCGCTTGGCAACGTTATGGGAAAACTTAACAGGTTCAAAAAGTCGGCCTGGGTAACTTAGTGAATTTTTAGGAATTGGCGCAGTGCTGCGCAAATGGCTTGGTTAACTGTGGCAAAATGTTAATAACGCTTTTTTAGATGTGAACATTCCAGTCTCGGATCTCGTACAGCTTTAAGAAATGAATTATAACTGATTAGCCGATGAGTTATAACTCGTTAACTCAGAGAGCGGCAACAACTCAATAGCGCAACCCAACACAGTGTTACCCAGGCCTAAAAACCGGTATTTTTGCGTAAAACATTTGCAGTTGAAATTAATTCGAAAAAATCTTTATCGCTTAACGCAAAACCCTGGTGGCTTTCAGGCTTTTGGAAGCGGAGCGTCATTTTCGAGACGCTATTAAATATGATAGTAAGAACAGCTTGTATTACTCGAATTTAGGTAGGTTAAGAACTTTGTTCAGGATTGGGCGAGTATTTAACGATTTTCGTCTGTAGGCGTTCTGTATCATCGTTGGAGAAGGCTGGAGGATGCTGAAAAAATGTACCTCAAGGCGTTGCTGCTCGAAACGGAAGCTCATCCGGCAACTACGGCAAGACAACAATTGCTGCGGCTGCAAAACCAACGACTCCAGACGAAGAAACTCGTTTAATTTACCCGAAAAGGGTGCCATGTATTTATTTTTTATTGAATATAATTTTTTATATGTATTTGGCGTTGCCAGACTAACGGTTTATTTGTTAATATTTGTTTTATATTATATTTCAACCCTAATAACCAATTTGCTGATAACTTAATTAAGAACGATCCCATTTGAGCGTAAACTAAATTAACCTAAAGCCAACATTTGAAATTAGCGCCATCGAACTGTCGGAAGTTGAATGCTGACACACAAGTCACAAGCGTCAACCAATAGGAAGTGCTAAAGTGTCATCTACAAGCGTTCTTTCTAGTCGTCTTTCCCACAATGGTGAGCACGCAAGTGAACGTAAATTCCAAAGGATTGGGCCATAAGGTAAAGTTTTATATATTTCCGCCGGCTTTATGAATTTTAAACCGAAAACATAATTTTCGGTTTGCATTTTCACATATTTCCTCGCTTCAGTCATCGGCATGAATTTAACCTAGGAAATGTGCAACATGCACGTGTCTCGACGGGTTTATTGTTTATAATTTTGTAATTTTGCCATTTTTAGGCCATCCTAATCGATGCCAAAGGCCACTTATTGGGCCGATTGGCCACCGTTGTGGCTAAGCTGCTCTTAAATGGAGATAAAGTTGTTGTAGTGCGGTGTGAGCAGCTGAACATCTCCGGTAACTTCTTCAGGTGAGCAGGGGCCTAAATAGCGTCAGCTAGAGGCTCTTTATCAGCTCTGGGACTATTTTATTTGCTTAGAAATCGCTAGTGTTACATAGATCGCGTTTTGGTTTCAGGGGCTGTAAAGGAACCATTTTGTTCACATAGAGTAGCACGGAGCCAATCTGATATTAACCGCGGTGAATGAATTGAATGAACTCCAGCTAATTTATGCGTTTGGACATAATCAGAATGTTGGTTTACTTTCGTTTCTGTTCAAACAAATAAACTCGCTGTAGTAGAGTTTTTGGACCGCTAACAAAACAGCAGGGAGCATAGTTTTTCATTATCAAATCTTGTTCTGTTCGGTTTTTAGAGACAAATGGAAAGGCATTTGAGTTTTACAATTCGGTGGATTATGTAATATAGGAATAAGGTGCCCAAAATACTCTTTTCTTCAACAGCCTTTCAATATTTTGTTTCTTTCGAGTATATATATCTCGTCCTTTCGTGGTCGCTGTTGTATCAGATTCTTAGCTTTGTCGTTATTTTCTCATTGTGAACTTGGAATTATTTGATTTTGTCCGAAAACGGCGGCGATTTGTTGAACATTGTCTAATAAGCCCATAGAATAATAGTAATTTCCCAATTCTACGTTGGTTTTGAAATTGTTACTTAAGGGAAAGATCGAATGGTTTATTGGGAGTTTAGGCAAATCTAATACTTCATAACCCAGATTTTCTATTTAATTCAACTTTACTTATCAGAAAAGGGGTGTTTAAGGATCAACATCGATTCTGGTTGTATTCTGTATTGCTACACGGTGTTACAAATTTATTTGCAGAAACAAGTTGAAATTTATGTCCTTCCTGCGCAAAAGATGCAACGTAAATCCAGCTCGCGGGCCTTTCCACTTCAGGGCGCCTTCCAGAATCTTCTGGAGAACTGTAAGAGGTAAGTTCTCGAGTTGGTATGTCAGAGTATCAAACTTTGTTTACATTCTAGTATAAACAAGTTTCAGACCAATTTTCCATTGAAAGCTTCTGATCGCTTCAAATGATTATAAACAGTCTTACCTACATTATTTGAAAAATAGTGAAAAGCACTCACTAATGATTCATTCGTTTTTTGTTGTTTGGCTGATCGTGGGGCGAACATAAACTAAAAAAGGGAATTTTCGTTTGCTTAGGAATGTTGCCACACAAAACCGTAAGGGGAAAAGATGCCTTGCGCAAGCTAAAATCATACGAAGGTATTCCAGAACCCTACAGTGCTAAGAAACGTCTGGTGGTGCCTGGAGCTCTGAGGGTGATCTGCTTGAAACCCGGGCGCAAGGTAAGATTTTATTTTTTTAGCTCTGTAGAGTTCAGTGCAACGAAGCCTCTTGCTCCGGAACAGAGACTCTTCATTGTCTTCTTCACGATATGTTCCAATAAAACTGATCCTCTAAATTGTTGCAAATCTCGTGCACTGCTGGCAAAGTACCACATGATTAATAAAATTACCTACATTATTTGAAAAGAGTAATGAAATATCGCAAAAATATGATAGAAGCCGTCTTCGGCGTCGAAGGAGTTCGTGTAACAAATGCCCACTATTTAAGCTATTTTGTTTTTTGTTGCAGTTCTGTCATGTAGGCCGTTTGTCCAATGAGGTGGGATGGAAGTACCAGAGAGTCGTGCGTGCTGTTGAAACCAAACGGAAGGTTAATGAAGTTCTGAGCATCAAGAAGCGGGACAAAGTGAGGAAATTGACTGCCCAGGCTTCAGAGAAAGTGGCTAAACAGGTGAAGCCGTTCACGGCAATCATTAACTCGTACGGTTACAAGTGAGAAGTTACTGTGAACTTCACGGGTTTGAATGCCTAATAAATTTTTATTAATTTACCGCTTTTTGTGTTTTTTTCCAATTATAACATTTTTTGCTTTAGACGGGTACTCAAGGGTATAGCTAATTTGGGTGTTTTAGGCTCGCAAGCTTAGCAGTTTGCCGTCGGTTAATGTTTTCTATTTATACTTAAAAATGTAATATAGAAAAAGTGATCAATTGCATAACTAACGCTTTGATGAAAGTTGGAAAGAGATAGAGCGAAAATTCTGGAAAGTTTGTTTGGCTTCCCTCCCAAATGACGTTATTGTGCGGCGTTGCCGTTGTTGAGTGTATCTCTGATGATTCATCGATCGGGCCGTGATCTAATCGTCTGCTAATAGCGTAGCGTCGCCGAATGAACGCAATTTTGTGTCGCCTGTGATAGTTTATACAGTTTTTATTTCCGAAAATCTGCGGAAGTCTTAATAAAACCTCAAACACTGTTATGAAGTTGTTTACATTGGTTGGTTGCTAAGTAGCGAAGCGTGCGTGACAACAGCGCGTGTTTATTTATGGTGGCGTCCGTCAAGTGAAGCGACAAACAAATTTTCCTTTGTGTGTTTTAAGTGAAAATCCTGCGGAATTTCGCAACTTTTGTTGTGTTTAGTGTCTTCATGGTGAAAATGATGTGCAAATTCGAACATTCTGAACACTAGCCCCCCTTCAGATCGTGCCAGTGCGTTGCTGAAAAAGCCCCATTTTTTTGCGAAGTGTTTCCCAATCAGAGTTCCTAGCGCTCGATTTGCGATCATTTACTCAGGAGCAAAGATTTTCTTTTTATTTTCCTCACCGATTGTGATGTGCCCAGACTTCCTTCTAGAAAAACGCTCCGTCAGAAGATCGCTGGTACCCCAAAACTGTCTAGTGCACTCCAAGAGAAAAGGCATCTTCATACACCCCACGGCTATGTATAAAAACTGTTTCCCGATTGGTGTTGCTTGTGCTCAGTTCAATATATAAGCGCTGGTGCGCTATTTTCGAATCAAAGCTTTATTAGTGTGATATTTCGGTTTACCTGGACAATATGAAGCTGCTAGAAAGCACTACCTTTGAAGCCATCAACAATGCGCTTCAGATTAAAAATGGAAACTGCAGGATTTCAGGAAGGATTGAGAGCTATTCCTGTAAAATGGCTGGCGGCGACAAGGCCCTGTACAAGAGGTAGTTGGTTTCAAAGTTTCAATTTGCCAAGTCTAAAGAATCACGGATTTTTCCATAGGTTCAATACAGAGGGCCTCAATCCCAATGACCTGCAGGCCCTTTCACCTCCACAAACCGTGTCCCAATACAGCAGAAGTGTTTCAGGAGATGAAGATGGGACTCTTTGCGACACCATCAGTCGCAAGACTTTATTCTACTTAATTGCCACTCTGAACTCTGCATTCCCGGATTACGATTTTATGGATGTCAAGGTTTGTGCTCAAGTTTCCCTTCAATGGTCTTTAATAGTGAAATTGGTATTTTTTGCAGAGTCCCGAGTTCAGCAAGGAACCGTCTCTCCAATGGGTGACGAACGCAATCGATTCGCAACTGACTGCCACTATTGGGGATATTTACAAGTCACTCAGACCCGCTCTGTGGACTGCACTGGACAACGAAATTTCCCTGGAAAATTGTGCCATCTACTCCTACAATCCGGATCTGTGCTCTGATCCTTTTGGCGAAGACGGTTGCTTGTGGAGCTTCAACTACTTCTTTTACAACAAGAAGCTGAAGCGCATTGTGTTCTTTGCATGCAGAGCCAGCAGGTGATTGTTGGAGAGTTAATGAGGTTTCCGTGACTAATTGCGATTTATTCCAGCCCGAGTTATGCTATCGACATGGGCTTCGGGAGCGAGTTGGTGATGGATGAAGACGAGATTTAGAACTGAGGGGTTTGGTCCAAAGTCTTTTAAATCTAACCGGCGTCCTTTAAACAAAACATTTAGTCCACTCCAGTATATCTCCTTTCGGGCACATCACTAGTTTGTTCTAATCGTACCTTCAATTCGTGCAATATTGGCGTTATAAGCAAAAGTCTATGAAAGAATCTCTAATATTATTTATTTATTCAAATTACATTCAATTCGGCGTTCTGATCTGCAGGGGTTCTTTCCATTTCGAGGTCTACATTGTTTTGTTAAAAGCAGCACTTCGACCAGCTATTATAAAGGGGAAGGTTCGACGATGACTATTATAACAGCAGTCGACATTTCAAAGGCCGATTGCCATTAACTTTTTTTAATGGTAAAATTACTTGCAAGTGTTGCGGATCATATTCCTTATCTCTGAGTCATAATCACTTAAAGTATGTCTTTCAAGCATTGCTGGAACCTTCTCATCTACAATAGCTTCTTCAATATATATCCTCTAGTGACGTAACATTCAATATATTAACCTAGACAGTTTAGAGTTTATTCAGAATCTAAACATAGAATTATTTTGGTTTTTTTCAGGTATAGGTTTGGTTTTAATGCGAGAAGTTTGCGTTTTTTCAAGTCTCGTCCGTTTATTGATAATAAACCTTCGGTTTTGGCAGTGCGATAATGATTTCTTGGTATCACCCTTCACTGAGAATGTTTTAGCAAAAACTCTTCGATTTGCGATAGGCGAACAATTAATTGATTTTCGAGGTATTCTGCTGAAATGAATACTTTTTTTGTTAAAACCCGTGACATTTTTGCTTCAAAAGAATGGAAAATAACTTTTAAAATGCAAAAATTTGAAAGCATCTAACTGAGTGTGTAAAATTGCAAAATAATCATGTCTTTTCATAGGTTCTGAAAGAAATATTTAAGTGTTTCCGGGTAAAAAAAAACAATAAAAAATCATTACACCGCAACTCCCAAACTGATGCAAGCGAACGTTTCTCCAAACATCAATTGTTAACGATCTTATGCCTTTGGTAGCTCAAAAATTACAAGAGTTTGGCCTTTTTTTCCGTTTATATTGATGTCTACTTGAACACTTGGCTTCGTGAGTTTTTCGAGGGGCTTGCAAAGCGCCAGGATGAAATTCTACAGGAAGAAAACTGTGAAAACAGCTTTGAAATCTACATTTATAAGCATTTTTTAGACTTGATAAATTTCCAATGGCATTAAAAGCAAATTTTATTCGAATTTCACTTAAATTACTGAAATCAAATATTTTTTGAGCCTACACTGTACAAGTTGGGACAATTTCCAGAAATAAGACTTTCCGTTCAGTATTGGTCAATATTCGGGAACATTTTCCAAGCCTGGTAGTTTTCGCACCAACGAGCTGGTCACCATCCAGGGTGTGTCTAATATGAAATAGTCCGATTGCTTCTAAACGGATTGAAAACCCAGTTCGTTCCTCAAAAAGTCGAATAAAATCCCAGATTGCTTCAGAGCTTCGTTAAAAAAACCACAAATTTTTAATTGGAAAATTGTGCCATCTACTCCTACAATCCGGATCTGTGCTCTGATCCTTTTGGCGAAGACCACAAATTTTTAATTTTTTGAGAATCCCGAGGGGCAATCAGAACTATTTCATACTAATGGACACCGTGTATACCAAAATAAGCTTTTGGTGAGAGCAAAAGTACAAAATAGCGTTAAACTTTTAAATGTAGTTGTTTCCCGCTAGTTAGAAAGTGTTTACAGTAGTCTGGCGCACAGGAATTGAATGGAAATGATCAACTTCCACAACTCCTGTCGTTCGGTCACTTTTTGTTAAGTTTCTTCGTAAATGTTTCACAAAAGTAGTGGTAGTGATTCTACTGATCTAGTTTAGCTTTAAAACTGTTATAAGGCCTGAACTGACATTCTTTGGGGTATTTAAGAGTGTCAGGGTCGATCTTATAAGAACTGATTAATTTTTTAGAAGACGTTACATTGACTAGTTTCTAGATATATAAGTACCATACACCAAAATAAAACTGCTTCTTAATGCAAGTGAAAGTTTATTTTTTTCCGTAAAACTTTGGGTTATTGTTATTGTTCGAAGGTGTATACCTGGACCGACCTATATTGAAGATTAGATAGGTTTTTCAATTCTTAAATTTATCAAACTTAACGCATTAGTGTTCTTGTTTTACAACCTAAGCAATATAAATACTGTAAATATTCAACAAATAATAATAATATAATATCTCTTCTCATTACTTAGAAAACATCTGTTAAATGTGACGAAATACAAGGCCCTTGAAAGGAACATATTATTATCTTCTTTCACTACATATGTACAGAACATAAACCACATGCAATTAAACTATGCGAATATACAGGATCGCCCATTTTTTTAACATTGAATTAGATATGATTTTGTTATAACGCGTCACGTACAGGGCGGCTCTAAATAAAACCTCTAACACTTCTCTGGCCCTGTACAACTAAATTTTCTTTGTCTATCGTGAGGTTGGTTAACGTTATTGAGTAAGTAGGTACCCTGTACTAATTCGATCACGCACATTCTTTCACCCTAAATACATTATTTGTTAGCAAAATCAGTCGCATTAGACCTATGGGATTTGCGTGGCTAATCTGGTTTTTTTTACCGTCTAAATTGTTTCCTAAGCAGATAGAATAGTGCTACAATGGATAGTTTTCGCACCGTTTTATTGGAAAATTTCACTGGTTCGACGAAAATTCGATTTCTTTCAGGGCAGCAGAATATTTAAGTAGGTACCGAGAATATCAGGTACCAAGAAGAGTTTCCGCACAGTTGAAAACACAATATATAATTGTGTTTTTATTCATAAAGTTTCGTCGATTTTATAGTCCTGTCATTTTATGTTACACAATAATTTAATTCTTTTAAGTTCCTATATCAGTTTGAAGGTGCAATAAGACACCACACAAATCCCCTTAGGTCAGTCCACCTAAATTACATTTAAACTACTACGTTTATCTTATCTGTACATCATAACGTCGGAGCTTTGGTACATGCAAATGTACGCGTCGCACAATAATCGTCTGGCATGTTCGGGCAGGTGTCGGTCATTGGGGAATTCTTCGTGAAATTGCCTGCAAAAAAGGAGGAAATTGAGGGAAAAATCTATTAGGCGGGTTGAAACATTACCTGCACAAAGCCTCATCGGAAAGCCACAGCGAAATATCTGGACACGCCACCATTTCCGGAATATTGTAGCCATCTCTTTCACCTGGAACGTTCAATGGAAATGATCATTTAAAGGTAAGTTGAGGAACAGTAAGTAGTGCTTCCAGGTGCACTTATTCACAGAGTTGTGCTCAAATCAGGATATAACATCGCGCAAAAGTTTTTCGTAAAATTGCGCGATCTCCTCGATTTTCATTTGATAAGGGGCAAGATTTCTTAAAAAAAAATTACATAAATGAATTGATTCCACCCACCAAGGAAAAAAAACCGACTGGTTTTTACACTTTTTTACACTCATGAGTGCGGTAGCTTCAACAAAATACGAGTTTAACGCAAAAAACAATGCGCAGCTAATTTCGAGATTAAAAAAAAAACGAGGTAAAACGTTCGAATTTGAAAAAACTCCTTACCCTTTCTATCGGCCATCGAGTCGAAGAAACACCAGGGAGCCTCGTGGCCCACGCCACACTTAACAAACGTTACATAATGGGACGTTTCTATACAAATCACAGCAAATAGTTCCATAAACAACCTCGGAGGCCTGCAAACAATCAAATTAACCAGGAGATCTCATAAAAACCCAGTAGTTACCTGTATTGCTCCTGCATGGCCAGGAAATCCTCGCCCACATTCAGCTGCTTCGGTTTGTGGCGTTGCCTTCTTTCGTGCTTGTGTGCCGTTTTCAAGCATTCGGTACAGAAAGCCGTGCTTTCCAAACCAGCTGTGGAAGCACACTCGGCAAAACACTCTTTGCATTCCCAAATCGCCAGTTTTCCACACACAATGCATTGCCGAGGAGCTGGAAACAAACGAACCCGTTGAAAACACTCTTACGTAAAAAGCTGGCTTGTTTGTACTTACAGCCTTCGATAACATCAGTAACATCCAGCAGCTGCGAGGGTAAAATTCGAGGATACATTTTGTAGTTTTTGCCAAATCGAGGCATTTGTATGATTAGGCAGGACGGCACTTCAGTCAGCTTGATGTCGCTGGTGAGAAAACTCTGCTCGAATAGCTGCTGCACGGTCGGAAGCGTCAGCTCTGCGTCTTTTTCCACAAATAACTGGTAGTGAAACGCGGTCTAGAAGAATTTTTCGGTCAATTCACTTGGGAGTGAGTTTGCGAGTTGAAACCCACCTGGCCGGAGTTCAGTTTCAAAAATGGCTCGGCCTTCAAGATCTGAGCCAGCAGAGAGTTTAGAAACTCCTCGGGATCCTTTTCTTCGCTGGTCAGCCCGGAAACCGAGCTCAATCTGTCCAGCAAGCGACGCAGCTTCATCACATTGTCGGCACTCACGTACAAGTTTTTCCGCAAGGGATTCACGATTTCTTCCCGCAAAACCCGCTGTACCTGCAACGATAAAACCGCCTTTATCATAAAAAAACTTAATTGGTTCTAAACCATGGGAACCCCAAACTTTGCATTTTTCCTCATAAGTGCGTAATGGTTGAAAATACCTCATCATAGTCGGCAATATCGTTCTGGTTCTTCGGCCGGAACAGCAAACTATCGAATACAGCCGTATAGGTGAACATCGCGAACAGCGTAACATCCAAGTAGCAGGAATTGTGATGGCCCTGGATGCCGCGGTACTTCCCACATACCGCCTGAACGTCTTCTTCAGTGGGCATGCAAAGGGGCGCCACTGCTCCTGGGATGACCGGGCATTCCACCTGAAGACAATAATATTCTTCGCTTAGATCGGACTTAAATGCGCGCTTTGAGACACTTACAAAGTCGCTGGCAGCCGCCTGATGAACTGGAGTAGTTGGCACCTGGAATCTGGGATCTTTGCGGCAGCGCGCCAGCGGCACGAAAAACGCCCGATCCGTCGAACACTTGAAGAACCGCTCACCGTTATGAGTGCCATCGGTGAGCGTCAGCGGCAAATCGGCTGGTAGTTCTTCTTCCAGCTCGATACCTACCAGGATAAAGTTGTTTTCGATATCCAGGCCCATCCATCGGATCACACCTGAAAGCCATACTTGCAAGAATTGTATACTTTGGCTTTCAAACTTGAAAAAATTCGCCCCTCAGGGCCACTTTAGTGAAAGTTTGACTCCTAATAAAGAAAGCTTCACTCTATCTGGTGACAATTCTGGTAAAAATTCGCAAAATCTCCATTTTAACCCGTACAGGAGTAACTTAATTTTGAAAGTTCCCAAAGCTTCATTCACGTTTTAACAAATTCGCCGTCTTTGCGCCTGTATGGCCACATTAGTGAGACTTTTGCTCCTAATAGACAAAACCAGGGGCGGATCCAGCTTTAAAATCAGGGAGGGGTTATGTAGAAAAAATATAGTCTGTTGTTTATGAACTTAGAAAAATGATCGTCGTTTTGTGTAAGGGTGGCGCAAGATTATTGCAAAATTTCATGTTTTCCGTC